CCTGCTCGTGAGGAGAGCAGATGCGCCATCCTGTCTTCTCCCCTGAGCTTACGTTTGGCCAAGTGCCGTCTTATGAGTGTGACGGAGACTGGGTGTTCACTATTCCTCACGATCTTGGCTCCTGTCTGTTGAGCACTGGCTGATGCCGGGACCTGCGCTGAGCCTTTTCCACACTTTGTACCGTTCGCTCCCCCACACAGCGCGGTGCAGTGCTCTCTGCTGCGATGGACGTCTGTGTCCGCTCCGTCCAACGGAGCACCTGCCAGCCACACGTGGTCTCCGAGCGTGTGAAACGTGGATAGTGCAACCGGAGAACTGAGCTTTCTTTTTCTTTAATTTTAATTAATTTAAATGGTTACATGTAACTATTATGGAGAGATTCTTTTAGGAGAGCAGGTAGAGGGTTAACCCATTTTAAAATGAGGGCTAGAGCCCAGCCAGCGTGGCTCGATGGTTGAGCATTGACCTATGAACCAGGAGGTCACAGTTCGAGTCCCGGTCAGAGCACATGCCCGGGTTGTGGGCTTGATCTCCAGTGGGAACAGGAAGGGGGCAGCCGATCAATGATTCTCTCTCTTCATTGAGCGGGTTTCTATCCCGCTCTCCCTCTCCCTTCCTCCCCGAAATCAATAACAATATATTTTAAAACTAAATTAATTAATTAAATGAGGGGTAGAGAGTTCCGTAATTTGCTGCAGGTACTCGACTAGCGCAGAGCCGGCTGAGGGCCCAGGATTCCTGCCCAGAGCCCCGCTCCTCACCACCATGTCACACCCCCTTCCGTTAGACTTTTTGCAGAAATTGTTTTCTGGTTACAGACTGTTCCCTAATTCATAAGTCTCTGTGTGTGCGTGCGTGCATCCCCTCTGGAAATAAATGTGCACGACCTATTAAAGGAAGCTGCCAGACGTACCAAAGGGTAGGGAGGGAACCTGCATAAGTGGGGAAATTTCACGTTGTTGGGTTGGAAGACTCGGTATTGCAAAAGAACCATTTCTCTCACAAATAACTTCTGGATTCAGTGTAATTCTACTCCTTATTCAAAGGGAATTGTAATGAAATGTGATTCTAAAGAATGTGCCAGAATAGTGTAAACAGTTGAAAATGAGTAATTGGGGGAGGGGTGGGCTTGTTCTGTTCACATCAAAATACTGAGTGACGTGGAAATAATTTAAAGCAGGGATTGCCATACAGGAGGAGACAATGGACCAGTTAAGCAAAACAGCCTAGAAAGCTGGCATATTAAATCACAAATCAGTCCTAACCGGTTTGGCTCAGTGGATAGCACGTCGGCCTGTGGACTGAAAGGTCCCAGGTTCAATTTGGTCAAGGGCATGTACCTTGGTTGTGGGCCTATCTCCAGTAAGGGGTGTGCAGGAGGCAGCTGATCAATGTTTCTCTTTCATTGATGTTTCTAACTCTCTCTCCCTTCCTCTGTGGAAAATCAATAAAATATATTTTTTAAAAATCACAAATCAGTAAGGGGCCGTTAATAAAGGTGGAAAATGGATTAAAGTCCTAAAACTATAGAAGGATGAAGTACTTTTGTAATATTAGACGGGGGGAAATGGGAAACTATAGAGGAAAATATTGACAGATTTGACTACATAAAAAAGTAAAATTTCTCAGTAGGAAAAAGCACACCAAAAGCAAAGTTTAAATGTCAGTTGAGACCAGGCAAAAACAAACAAAACACCCCAAAACAAGAAACAGTGCAACAAACGGGGTTAAATTCTTAACAAATAAAGAGCTGCAGCGGATGGGGGTAAAAGGGACGTATGTAATACTTGCAACAATAATGATTTTAAAAAAAAAAAAAAAAAAAAGAGCTGGAGCAGATAAAACACACCAAAAGCAGAGACCAACAGCCAGGAGACTGGGCGGAGGTTATGAATAGGCACTTCACAGAAATATGAAATACAAATGGCTAATAAAACTGTCCAACTGCATTAGTGAGCAGAGAAATACAGTTTAAAGCAATTAAGAACTCTCTTTCACCTATCGGAGTGGCAGGAATTAGACTGATTTCATCCTGTGCTGGCCAGCTTGGTCAGAGTGGAAGCTGACCCACCTTTCAGACAGGCCCGGGCCGGCTGCAGCCACACTGAATGTGCGTGTTCTTTCGCTCCGCGGTTCCACTCTGAGCACTCACCGGGCAGAATTACCCATGCAGGGATCCACCCATGCTCGTCACAATGTTTTGTGTAATACCAGAGAATTGGAACCAGTAGCCATGTCTAACCATGGTTAAAGCAAGGTACTTCCCATGGTAGAATAATGAAAAATAAAATCTGCAGAAAAGGGTTGGGAGGACACACACATAAGCTGTTGACAGTGAGGAACAGGGAGCAGGTGGCTTTCATATTTATATCCACTTCCACGTCACTTGCATTTTTAGGGTGAACAAATACTGTTTCCAGAATAATTTTTTTTTTTACTGTGAAGAGACTCCTTTAGTGGAATAAAACATGCCGAGTTCCGCCAGGACACAGCCCATGCTAAAGCAGGAGCCACGGAGTCTTTTCTTGCTTTAGTAGAAAAGATAATAATCTGCACATCACCAGCATCTGTGCTTGGCTTGATTTAAAATGCTCATAAAAAGGACATTGTTGTGTTTATAGCTTACCCACATTAGTCAGTGGAAGGCCTTTGCTGCTCCCAAAATAACACTCGGCACGGGCTGCATCCTAGTTCCGTCCCTAACGCAGAGGCATGGTTCTCCCCGCGGTTCCCTCCATGGGTTCCAGGTCTCGCACTTCCCGGGAGCCAGACCGGCCCCCCTGGCACCACAGCAGCTGGCTCAGGAGTAATTTTGTTTAAGAAGATAATTTATTTCAGAGGAAGGGAGAGGTAGAGAGAGAAACATCAGTGATGGAAGAGAATCATTGATCGGCTGCCTTCTGCACGCCCCACACTGGAGATTGAGCCCACACCCAGGCATGCGCCCTGGCCGGGAATCGAACGTGACCTCCTGGTTCATGGGTCGATGCTCAACCACTGGGTCACACTGGCCAGGCAGGAATAATTTTTTTAAGATATCTTAACCTGAGAAAGGTGTCTGCGTTCTAGCCGTGGCTCCCTCATTTCACTGAACATCATAGTGAAGGTGGCTTCGGTCACCTTCTCTGTTTAAAAATAAACAAGTAAAAATTTAAACCGTGTCCACGTTCTCAGGTGGGGGGGTGGGTGTGGTTACTTTCACAGCAAAGAGGATGGATCTGTCGGTTTTGCTCCGTTAAGTAGGGCGTCGCACTAGATCTCTGAGGATGCTTCCCGCGCCAATGATTAAGCCCCTGGCCTCAGATCTCCTTGGATTTTGAAATGAAATAAAAGCGACAGCCGAGACCGGTTTGGCTCAGTGGATAGAGCATCGTCCCGTGGACTGAGGGGATCCCGGGTTCGATTCCGGCCAAGGGCATGCACCTTGGTTTCGGGCACATCCCCAGTGGGGAGTGTGCAGGAGGCAGTAGATGGATGTTTCTGGCTCTCTATCCCTCTCTCTTCCTCTCTGTAAAAAGAAAAAAAGCGACAGCCGCGGGCATTGGCGGTGTGGTTCTCGGTGGTCGAGTGCACAGGAGACGGGGCCGTTGCTGCCGGGGAGTAGTGTGGTTTTCACGGGCTCGCTGCTCTCCCGTCCCTTCTGGAAACCTCTCCTCCCAGCTCAGAGCAGACCCGCAGGACTGAGCCTCCCGGCCAGCAGGGCTGGGGTGCACTCAGGGCCACGGAGAAGAGTTTCTGGGGTGCAGCTGGCGGGTGGCCTCCCGCCAGGAGCGCGTGCCTGCTGGTGACGCGTCTCGCCTGCCGCTGCCTCCACTGCGGCTCAGAAACACTTGAGAGCTCGTTTGTCCGAAGCCAAGAGCTTGAACCTGAGCTGAGCCAACAGGGTGGCGCTCTCCCATCGTGTCCTTCCCCGCCGTGGCAAGGGCAAAGGCAGACGGAGGATGGCTGAAGGGAAGGTGCCAAGACGGCTCCCGGGCTTTACTTGAAAGGGCTCCTGCCTCCCAGCTGGTGGCAGAGAACTCAGTCCAAATATCTGGGCTTTCGCCGGCTGGTGTGGCTCAGTGGTTGAGCGTCAGCCTGTGAACCAAGAGGTTGATTCCTGGTCAGGGCACATGTCCAGGTTGCAGACTCAACCCCCAGTTAGGGGGCATGCAGAGGCATCTGATCAGTGATGTTTCCCTTCCTTTCTCTCTAAAAATCAATAAAGACATTGTTTTTAAACACACAAATTAAATAAATAAATAACCCCCACAAATATCTGGGCTTTCTTCACCTTAACTAAGCGGGTGGAGCTGCCCTCACCTGGGCCCGCCAGGTGGCGTTAGCTCGGAGCTGCACTTCATCCCGCCCGCTGTCCACGTCTGTGTCAGTCCACCTGAGGACAGTGTCCTTCTGGGTTTAGGGCTTGCATGAGCCTGGCATGTTCCCAGGTCCATGTCTAGCCTTGTCAGGCTCCTAGGCAGATCCTTGCCAGAGGCTGGCACGGAGACGGTGGCAGCCGGTGCCCCAGCCCATCAGCCTGAGTTTTTCCAGAGGAGCAGCTTGGAGCAAGGCCTCCGGGTGGCACAACCCAGGGGCATGGGGGTTCCTTTAAGTGGGTGGTAACATCCTAGGTAGCAACCCTGATGCTGTGCAGCTCAGTGACCCAGGCTTGGACCTGGTGCCACCTGAGACCTCCGCATGGACATGACAACCTCACCTGCTGTCATTGTGCAAAGCCCCTGTAGTGCCTGTGGGGCCTGAGCTGCAGGGACGCAGCCTTGGTCTCCGGGCCCCGCAGGCAGGATGGCAGCAGTGCAGACAGATTGAGGCGGGCCCTCTCTCCGTCACACGGAGAGCCAGCCATTCGACTGGTTTTCTCAGCAGCCGGGCCGGTCCCGGACCTCTGGGCCCCTCTGTGCCATCTCCGGGCTAAGGCGGTTGTACCAGCAGCCGGGCCGGTCCCGGACCTCTGGGCCCCTCTGTGCCATCTCCGGGCTAAGGCGGTTGTCCCCCTTCAGTTGCAGAGCTACTTCGCTGCGTGTGAGGATGAGACGCCTGCCATCCGGAATCACGACAAGGTGCTGCAGCGCCTGTGCGAGCACCTGGACCACGCCCTGCTGTACGGGTGAGCCGGGCCCTTCTGGGAGGCGGTGGGCACCACGGGGCACGGCCTCGGAGACAAGTCCCCAGCCTCGTCCGCCTTCTGAGTCTCCTCTCCCTGGGCGGGGAGGAGTTGGTCCGGCTCGGGTGGGCCGCAGGTGGTCTGCGTTATCGGGCAGGTTGTCTCCGAGCGGACACACCAGGGGGAGAGAAGGAGTAGGTGAAACGGGAAGGCACGGTGCCTGTGGGTCTCGCTGGGGAAGCCATTGCTCTTGGCCTTGAGCTCAGGATTGATGCAGCTGGTGGGCCCGCTGACGGCACCTTCTGGGAGCCCTGCCCGGGTCCAGCAGCACCTGTCCTGTCCCTCAGGCTGCAGGACCTCTCCTCCGGCTACTGGGTGCTGGTGGTGCACTTCACCCGGAGGGAGGCCGTCAAGCAGATCGAGGTGCTGCAGCACGTGGCCACCAACCTGGGGCGCAGTGAGTAGTGCAGGTGGATGCTGGGAAGGGCCAGCTCCGCTCTCCCTGTGGGTGGCTTGGGGCTAAGGGGCGGAGCCAATCATCCTGTGATATCCAGAGGCAGAGGGGCCCTCAGTGCCAGTGCCCTCCAGAGGCCCCTCCTGCGAATGGCAGTCTGTGGGAGCGCGGAGGGCGGTGAAGGGGAGTGGGATACGGGAGAGCACCCCAGCCGAGCACACGATGGTCTCGCTCCCCTCCTCGGTGAGGGTCAGTGTTAGCCTGCAGGGTCGTGCAGGATCCTTGCATTTGTCAACCCCCTTGAGGTTAAAATCTGCCCTCTGGGCAGCCACAAGGTGGGGGCTCCCCGGAGAATAAAGATTTCGGGGTCGTGGTCCTCCAGGAGGCCAGGCTGTTGGCATGCACAGTCCCCTCCCCCGCTCTGTCTCTCCTTCCTGCCCCTGCCTGCTCCCTGACAGACCTTCCTCCCGGTGACGCCTGCCCTTGTCTGCAGGCCGCGCCTGGCTGTACCTGGCCCTCAACGAGAACTCCCTGGAGAGCTACCTGCGGCTGTTCCAGGAGAACCTGGGCCTGCTGCACAAGTACTACGTCAAGTGAGTGTGCGGTCTGTGCCCGTGGCCCCCGAGCTGCCCTGGCGCCTCGCCCCACAGGCGCTTTTTACACGCGGACACTGTGATCTGCACCTCAGAGGCCCGGCCTGGCACTGCCTGCGGAGGACATGTCCGTGACGGCCACGGGGCGCTCCGAGCCCAGCCTGGGCGGCTTTGCCAGGGGCGCTGGGCTCCAGCTGGGCTCCTGTGCTTGGTGCTCTGCCTCCGCTGGTCCCTCCCCGGGCCTCAGACCGGACTAGTATGCACAGCCTTTGCTGGGTGACTGCGGGATCGGAGTATTTATAGCAGCTGCGGCGAGCCAGGCGGGCCTCATGCCACAGGCCCGTGTCTGAGACACTGGCGGGAGCTTGCCGTGTGGCCCAAACCCAGGAGGAGAGGCTGGGAAGGGCTGGATAGCTGCCTCCTGCCAGGCGCCCTCAGGGAGAGGGCTGTCACATGTCACATTTCAACACCGGGGCTTGTTGGCGAGGGAGGGCCGAGCTGGACACAAACCAGCCCCACCGCCGTCCCCTCCGTGTCCCACAGGAATGCCCTGGTCTGCAGCCACGATCACCTGACTCTCTTCCTGACCTTGGTGTCTGGGCTGGAGTTCATTCGCTTCGACCTGGACCTGGTGAGACCCCATGGCGCTCCCGGCTTTCGGGGCAGAGGAGTGGGCGGGTGGGCACGAGGTGTCCATGTTCAGGCCCCTCCAGGGAGTCTCAGGTGTGACCGGGCCTGAGCAGGTGAGGGCCGGGTCAGGGTCTGCTGTGGGAGTGGGGGTGGGTGTGATTCTCTCTGGGCCTGAGGCCAGATCTGGTTCAGCTGACTCCTTCCGATCTCTGTCCCGCCTGGGAAAGAGCCCGCTGGATGTGTGGGACGTGAGTGTTTGAGGGGGACATGGCCGACTCATCCCTGTGCCTCTGGGGTCTTGGAATTAGCTCCGACTCCAGCCTCTCTCCTACATTCACACACTAGAGACGTTCAGTGCCGGCCCAGATTGAGCCGAAGGGGCCCACGGTGCCTCAGATGCCGAATCCAAGCCCCTTCCTGGGTCCCTGCCCAGTCGGCACAGACTGAAGAGGCAGAGGAATTGGGGGGAAAGAGCAATTTGAATAGTGAGAGGTCAGAGACAGGCTAGAAGGCCTCGCTGGTTCCAGTCCTCTGTGGGCCTCAGGCCCAGCTCTCAGCGCCACACCCACCACATTTCTCCTCAGCAGCTGGTTTCTGCATTTAGTGCCTTCAGCCCATTGGTTTCCCAAGGAAAAGCTAGCACGGGGGAGGGTGGGACGGGCAGGCCCGTGGCTCCCGACCCTGCCCCCAGCGGAGGCCACCACCCAGACCCACCTCTCTCCTCTCGCCTCAGGACGCCCCCTACTTAGACCTGGCCCCCTACATGCCCGACTACTACAAGCCTCAGCACCTGCTGGACTTCGAGGACCGCCTTCCCAGCTCGGCCCATGGCTCCGACAGCCTGTCCCTCAACTCCTTCAACTCCGTCACCTCCACCAACCTGGAGTGGGACGACAGCGCCATCGCCCCGTCCAGCGAGGGTAGGTGGCCGGCGGACAGGAGCCAGGCCCGCGCCAAAACCGATTCCAGAGCCACTGGCGCCTGGCGGGGCGGCGTCTCTCTCGGCTCCTCTGGTCCCTTGTCCTGGTCCCGTGGCTGAAGTGAAGGTCAAACAGGGTCAGCCGTCTCTCAGATCCTCTGTCTCCAGGCTAAGAAACTAACGCTGGGGGAAAAGAAGCCAACTGTGGAGACAAAAAGTCAAACAATGGTGGGACAGATCTTGGGGATGTTGGACCCTTTTCTAGAAGGCAGTTTCTGAGTGAGGAGGGATTAGGTGTGACCAGACTTCCTCTCATCGCTGGGTGAGGCTGCCGCCCAGGTTTTAGACAGAAAGAGGCTAAGGAGCCACTGGAAGGAGGAGAAAGCGGGTGGATGGGAAGTTGAGGGGAAAACCTGCCAGCATCTCTCAGGAGTCCCTCCCGTACTGTCAGTGTGTCCGCGGGGATCACCCCTCGCACCGGAGTCTGAAAAAGGTCACCGCAACCGGAGGTCATTGTGTTGTCTTATCCAAAAGCTTACCCAAACAGCCTGGCTGTATTATTTATATTTTCACTGATTTCAGAGAGGAAGGGAGAGAGAGAGAGAGAAACAACGATGAGAGAGACGCGTTGCCCCTCACTGGGGATCGAGCCCGCAGTCCAGGCATGTGCCTAATCGTGGATTGAATCTTGACCGCCTGGTTCATAGATCGATGCTCAACCACTGAGCCACTCTGAGTGGCTGGGCTGTGTTCATTTATAAAACTGGCAGTTTCCTCGCCTCCAGGGAGGGGATGTGAGGCCTGGGACTCCCCAGAATTGCATCAGCATTGAGGCCTTGACCTTCTCTTTATTTCTAATTGTGCCATGAGCCATGCATGGCCAGGGAGAGGGCAGTTACTGTCAGACTTGCTGTTAGCATTGCTCCTTTACAAGTGGACGAAAGGTCAGACTCAGGGGCTGCCTCAGAGAAGGCGAAGGGGCGCCCCGAAGGAGCTGCCCCCCTTGTCTCGCCGCTGGTGCGGAGGGAAGGAAGGCTTGGGGACGGTCAGGAGCAGGTGGGCCCACCTTCTCTGCCGGAACCAGGTTCCCAGCCCCCGACGTCTTCCCAGCCCGTCAGAGGCCACTGGGGCCCGAGTAAGTCCCTGAGGTTGGCTGTTAGATAAAACGTGGAAAGTTTAACTTTTCCTCGTGTCTTCGCCCATGTCCCTGCCCTGTTGCCCCCTCCTGCCCTGTCCTCCCATTTCCTGTTTCTAATGGTCAGTTTTGTCCCGTTTTTGTAGATTATGATTTTGGAGATGTGTTTCCGGCAGTGCCGTCGGTACCCAGCACAGACTGGGAAGGTGGGCAAAGTCCGTTCTTACTCTCGTTTCCTGTTATTGCCACGTTTCCATGCCAAGCTTGCTGCATGATCAAAATCAGCTCAATACTTATAATTATGTCACTGATCGTACTAAAGCCCAGCCTGGTGTCCCGATAGATGGAATTCTGCAGGAGGAGCTCCGCCTCCAGCCCCAGGCCCCCCTCCAGTCCCGGGCCCCCCTCCAGCCCCAGGCCCCCCTCCAGCCCCAGGCCCCCCTCCAGTCCCGGGCCCCCCTCCAGCCCCGGGCCCCCCCTCCAGCCCCAGGCCCCCCTCCAGTCCCGGGCCCCCCTCCAGCCCCAGGCCCCCCTCCAGCCCCAGGCATCTTGGGCAGCTCCCATCGGCCACCTGCCTGCGCTGACAGACGCAGTGGCTTGTGGAGTCACCTCATGACTCCGCAGGGACACACACATCTCCCTTCCTGCCTCTGGCACCACCCACTCACTGGACGTGCGTGGGGAACTGCCGGCCGTGGGCACTCACTGGGGACAGACTTGTTCTAGAAAGAGATGCCTTTGAACGTGTGGGCTGTACATTCCTGTAGGTCAGAAGCATCAAGTACAGCCCACGCATTCCTGTGTCAGAAGCATCAAGAAGCCAAGGCAGAGGGCTTGATTCCTTCAGTCCGTTCTTGGTGGCTTCCTCTGGGACATTTTTGAATGAGATTGAGGGAAATTGCCCACATACAGATGAAACTTCCTATGGAGAGAGTCTCTTTGATTTCAAGGCAGATTAAAATACTCAGCCCACCTCCCACCATGTCCACTAGGTGGCAGTAATGCTCAGGCATTTTCCTGCTTGTAGGGGTGCCCACTTCTGGGCTTGTGAACATTTGTGACGCTATTCTTTACATTCCCCTGATTGCTCAGAGCGCAAGGCACGTCCCTGACGCTAACGCGTCCTCTTTGAGTCTGAGGCCACAACCAGGCGCCGTGTTAAAGACCCTTATCTGCCAAGAGCATAGCATCAGGGTCCCACTCCCAGAGTAGTGTCTAGTCCAGAATTCCATCCTGACAGCACCTGTCCTCTCAGCCTCTCTTCTTGCCGCAGGCGCGTTGGGCACCGGCGGTCCCTCTGGTTCTAACAGCTAACCCTCCCTGCCGTTACTTGTTGCCTGTTGCACTGCTTGCCCAGTAGGGCCCTGTGGGCCCTGGTGGGGATTGGGTGGGGATTGGGCGGCTGTCCCATGGTCCGTGGCTCATTTACAGGATTGGCAGGTACCTCAGCCTTGACACCCACAATGTCCGTGGTCTGCTTGCTCTCCTCTCGGGCTCCTCGGAGCAGCTGCAGATCTCCAGGGTCTGGGACAAGGCGCAGGGCTCTGCAGGAACCTTCTCTGAGACCGAAGGGCAAGGTTCTCTGCATCGAGAACCAGGGCGCTGTGGTCCCAGGACATCGGGAGAAAGTGCATGTATTGCTGGTGGTTTGGGGTTTTTTAAATATGTTTTATTGATTTCATGGGTGGGGAGAGAAACATCAGTGATGAGAGAGAACCATTGATCAGCTGCCTCCTGCACACCCCATACTGGGGATTGAACCTGCAACCCAGGCATGTGCCCTGATCATGAATCCAACCGTGACCTCCTGGTTCATGGGTCGATGCTCAACCAGTGAGCCACACCTGCCAGGCTGTTGCTGGTGTTTTTGTGGTTTTTTTCTGGCACTGCTGGCAATTGCTTTTAGCTGCCTCCTTTGCCCTTATATTAAAAAACAATGTACTTTTTGAAAAATATGGATGGCGTGCTGTGTCAGCAGGCAGCGGCCAGCGGTTCCGAGATCCACCTGGAAGCTGGCGGCAGCCAGGCCCTTCGGATGAGGCTGAGGGTGGGCAGCATGCTTGCCCGTCTCCGGGCAGATAATGGCCAGAAAGATGTGTACAAAGTGGCTAATGGAGCGTGAACGGCCTGCGTCCCCTGCCATTAACCTCCACCAGTTGGCCTCGGTCTCTGCTCGGGCAGCCATCTGCCACCAGATGAATTCCCGTGTGCTTTCCTCGCCATGTCCTGTCTGGTGACCGGGGCGGAAGGGTCCGCTCTGGGGGGCAGCAGCCTCCCCACCGTCCTCTCCCAGTGGACCCATATGCACGCTGAGGCTTGAGTGCAATCGAGTTCTCAGCACCCCTTACAGGGGCCTGGTGCTGCCCCTGGAGCATGTGGGTCGTCAGGGAGAGAAGCAGCCACTGAAGGGCCCACGAGGCATCTGGGGGGGCAGCCACTCGGCACACCCTTCTCGTCCCCTTCACATCTCCTCTTCTGGGCTCTGGCGCGTTCTCTCCGCCCTTCCCCCTGCTCCTCACCCCCAGCCTTTGCCCTTCACTCTGCACCCCACGTTTTCTCTGGTCTCTGTTCTCTCTTTTGTTCCTTCTTACCTGCCTCAGAGGACTTGGGGTATCTCAGCCCTGCCAGGGCCTTGTGGTGCTAAAGAGGAAGCGGGCGCCCTCTAACCTCCTCTGGTGGAGGGTCAGACTGAGGCGCGGCCCGTTCCTCTGTGGGCACCGAGGTCACCATCTCCCAGGGGCTTCAGCTTGGAGCTCCTACCTCCAATTTGGCCACGTTGCCGTGGCTCTCAGGGGCTCCTCCTGCTGGCGGTGGTGGTGGTGATGGTCGGTGGTGGTGGTGGTGGTAGTCGGTGGTGGTGGTGGTGGTGGATGGTGATGGTGGTGATTGTGGTGGTTGTGGTGGGTGGTGGTGGTGGTGGTGGTGGATGGTGATGGTGGTGGTGGATGGTGATGGTGGTGATTGTGGTGGTGGATGGTGATTGTGGTGGTTGTGGTGGGTGGTGGTGGTGGTGGTGGTGATGGTGGTCGGTGGTGGTGGTGATGGTTGTTGGTGGTGGTGGTGATGGTGGTGATGGTGGTGGTGGTGGTGGTGGTGGTGATGGTGGTCGGTGGTGGTGGTGATGGTTCTGGATGGTGATGGTGGTAATGGTGGTGATTGTGGTGGTGGTGGTGGTGGTGGTGATTGTGGTGATTGTGGTGATGGTGATTGTGGTGGTGGTGGTGGTGGTGGTGGATGGTGATGGTGGATGGTGATGGTGGTGGTGGTGGTGGTGGTGGTGGTGGTGGTGGTGGTCCCTGTAAGTTGCTCTGAAAGCACAGATCCCATGTCCTGCTGAGTCTGGGCTTCTATACTCAGAACAGGGCCACCCCGATCAGACTTCCCCGGGGGCTCACCCGCCCTCCGCATGAGGAAAGGCATGCTTTGGGGGCCCCGAGGGTCTTATGGGCTGTGTCCTGTTTCCCGTTCCTCCTCCTCGCAGACGGGGACCTCACAGACACTGTCAGTGGCCCCCGCTCCACTGCCTCCGACCTGACCAGCAGCAAAGCGTCCACCAAGAGCCCCACCCAGCGACACAACCCCTTCAATGAGGAGCAGGCGGAGGCCGTGTCCTCCTCCGACACCACCCCGGTGCACGCCTCCTCCCAGGGCACAGAGCCGCCCCCCCCGGAGCTGCTGGACGCCGGCTCGGAGCTCGAAGTCATCAGGTCAGCGGCGGAGGGGAGGGGGGGGAGCACCCTCTTTAGTCCAGGCAGGCAGTTGGGCATCTTCCTGGAGATGAAGTACCCTCTTCCCGTGGTGGCGCTTCCAGCAGGAGGAATAGCAGGCCCGGAAGACAAGAGGCACTGGCTGGTTCGAGTCCAGAGCAGCTTGAGCCGCTCAAGCTTGGGGTCCCCTTGCCAGGCCCACTGCAGCCAACGTGGGACCAAGAGTGGGTGCCAGGAGTTTGAGCCCAGAGGCTTTGAGTGCATTTCTGGTTTAATTGTCCGTGATGGGAAGTGAGGTCAGCGCAGGGCCCATTGCCCACATCCTAAGGGAAGGGCTGAGGAGAGGGACCATTGGCCTGACCAACCGTGGCCTGTTGTTCCCTAGAGCACAGCTAGCTGCGCTGCAGGACCTGCTCAGGGGCCTCTGGCTGCTGCCATCTGTGCCTCCTCGGGCTGGCCCCTGCCTCTGCCAGCCATGGGGGAGACCACAGGGGCCGAGCCGCCGCTGCCCCCAGCCAGGACCCTGCACCCAGCACTGCCCGGGACCACTGAAGCTCTGCCCTCAGAGGTCACACACCCAGGATCACCTCTTTTGGCCCCACCCATCGTGTCCCTCAGAGCGTGGTGCTCAGATGCTGATGTCTCCCCTCGCCTCTCTCCCAGGGTCACCAAGAAGAAGAAAACTGGCAAGAAGAAGAAGACCAGAGCAGATGAGGAAGCCAGTCCACTGCGCCCGGCCTCTGCCCAGCACGCTGGTGCCAGGAGGGGGGACGGCGACAGCCGGGTCGGCAGCCCAGGCCTCGGGCGGGGCTCCCCAGACGCCACCGTGGCTTGCCCCCAGGAGAAGGGAGAGGGGCCCAGCAGCGCCGCTGAGAGCAGCGAGCGTGCGGAGCCCGGCCAGATGGGCCTGCTCATCCCCGCGATGAAGGACACCTCCATGGAGCGCCTGGGGCAGCCCCTGAGCAAAGTCATGGACCAGCTCCACGGGCAGCTGGACCCTCGCACCTGGTGCTCCCCCGCCGAGCCCCCCGACCAGCCCTTTCGGACCGGCTCTCCGGGGGACGCCCCGGAGAGACCACCGTTTTGTGACTTTAGTGAGGGGCTTCCGGCCCCAATGGACTTCTACCGCTTTACCGTCGAGAGTCCAAGCACTGTTACAGCAGGTGGCGGCGACCATGACCCTGCAGGGCCTGGCCAACCGCTGCATGTTCCTGGTGGCCCTGCGGCTGCTGGCCAAGAAGAAGAGGGAGGAGGAGGAGGAGAGGGACAGGCGCCTCCGCCCCTAGGGGCCGCCCTGGGGGAGGCTCAGGACCCAGAGGCCCGGGCACCAGAGACCCAGGTGCCCCCCGTCGGGGAGGGGCCCGGGCCTGAGCCAGAGTCTGGGACCCAGCAGGCTCTTTGCCAGCTCAAGCGGGACCAGCCCAGCCCGTGCCTGAGCAGCGCGGAGGACTCGGGGGTGGAGGAGGGGCAGGGGAGCCCCTCTGAGATGTCCCACGCGGCGGAGTTCAGGTGAGCAGGGCTGTGCGCTGGGGAGACTCCGGTGCTGGGAGCAGGGGCCCGGGGTCTGCCCTCCCAATCCCTAATGGCTCCTGAGGACCCAACCGGCTGGGAGGCAGGAGGGGTGTGGTCCTCCCTCCTTCATGTGGCTCCTGGGAGGGGGTAGAGTTGCCACAGCTGCACAGCTCCGAGGGCACTGCCTCTGGGTGCCCGTATGCCCTCTGGGTGCTTATACGCCTTCTAGGTGCCTGTACCCCCTCTGGGTGCCTGTACCACCCCTGGGTGCCTCTATGCCTTCTGGGTGCCTGTACCACCTCTGGATGCCTCTACCCCCCTGGGTGCCCGCACACCCTCTGGGTGCCTGTACCACTTCTGGGTGCCTCTACTCTACCCCTCTGGGTGCCTGCACACCCTCTGGGTGCCTGTACCACCTCTAGGTGCCTGTACCCCCTCTCTGTACATGCATCTCCTCTGTGCCTCTCTTACCTCCCCTGCCCCTGCCCCTGCCTGACACCGCGCCCTCCCACCCTGTCCCTCTCACAGAGTCGACAACAACCACTTACTCCTGCTGATGATCCACGTGTTTCGAGAAAACGAAGAGCAGCTCTTCAAAGTGAGTCCCAGCGCAGCCCGGCGGGCAGGGCGGTGGCCGCCGAGCAGTCAGGAGGGGAGCGTGCCGCCCGGGGCTGGCGGGCGGGAGCCACGGTGCCTGAGCGGTTTCTGCTTCACCCACAGATGATCCGGATGAGCACAGGGCACATGGAAGGCACCCTGCAGCTGCTGTACGTGCTGCTCACAGACTGTTATGTCTACCTGCTCCGGAAAGGTGCCCGCCGCCCTCTCCCCCAAACCCCCTGCACCCTGGGGTCCCTCAGCTGCCTGGCGTGCCACCCCCTTCCCCAGGCCCCCTGCACCCCGGGGTCCCTCAGCTGCCTGGTGTGCCGCCCCCTTCCCCAGCTCTCCACACCCCCGTGTCCCTCAGCTGCCTGGCGTGTGGCGATGAAAATAAACTCCACGGAGGGTGTTGCCAGCAGGCAGTGGCCCAAGACGTGAGCCCGGGCCTCCTCTCCATCCACACCCGTCATCCTCCATCCTTTCAGATCCCGGGCCCAGGCGGGTCTCCTGGGGGGAGGGGCCAGGGCTTAGAAGGTGGGCGGAGGGGGGGAAGAGAGGCCATGTGGGTGATGAGCATCGGCATTTCCTCTCAGGGGCCACGGAGAAGCCATACCTGGTGGAAGAGGCCGTTTCGTACAATGAGCTTGACTACGTGTCGGTGAGTCCAGGCTCTGCAGCTGCTGTTTGCTGTCGGCCCAGCCATACGCAGAGCAGAGCAGCCCCTGCTTCCCCTGCTCGGCCTGGGGTTGGGCGCCTGCTCCTCTCAGAGCAGCTTCTGTCCCTGGTACTGGGGGTGGGAGTGAGTTGGAGGGTGCCTCTCCGTCCATCTCTCCCTAATCGGCCAGGATCCCGGGCCTCTGGAGCTTTGCCTCGTGGTGACTCCAGGGGCGCTTCCTGCCCGCCCCCCTGCTCCCCCCTCCCCCCGGCTGGCCCTTAGTCCGGCTGTGCTGCCTCTCCTGGCAGCAGCCAGGCCCAGGTGCATGGAGGTATTGTCTCTGGCAGGTGGGCCTGGACCAGCAGGCGGTGAGGCTGGTGTGCACCAACCGCAGGAAGCAGTTCCTGCTGGACACGGCCGATGCGGCTCTGGCTGAGTGAGTGACACCCGCCTTCCTTCCGCTGAGCTGGAGGGTCAGCCTCGGCCGCTGGGTGGCTGTGCCCTGGGCTCCCGCCTTCGGGGGGAGGGTAGGAAGTGGGGACAGGTGCGTTCCCCCTGGGCCCTGGCTGATTCATGGTCAACCCAGGCGACTGCAGAGAGGAAGGGCATGAGCTTAGCAGGAAGAGAGCATGGCCTGGCTGCTGACCGCAGCGTGCCCCAGACCTCCTCACGGAGCCTGCGTGTCACCCGGGCACTAGTGTTCGAGTCCCGCTGCAGCCCCTTGCCAGTCTCCCTCAGTCAGAACCCGGGGCCCCTTGGCCACTCGGGACAGGTGGGCCTCTTCTAAGTCGCCACTAGGTGACTCGCCTGCTGTCCCGTCACTGCCCGCCCACCGCCCTGAGCTCTGGTTCCAGCCAGGTCCCTCCCCCAAGTGTCTGTGAGCCCGGAAGGTGGGGGGCACATGCCTCTGACGGCAAACCCCACTCCCTGGGCAGGTTCTTCTTGGCTTCTTTGAAGTCGGCCATGATCAAAGGCTGTCGGGAACCCCCGTACCCCAGCATCCTGACCGACGCCACCATGGAGAAGCTGGCACTGGCCAAGTTCGTGGCCCAGGAATCTAAGTGTGAGGTGAGAAGCTGGGGAGGCAGGGGCAGGGGGAGGGCCTGGGCCTGGGGTGTGTCCTTGCTCTCAGTGGGCCCTGGTGCTGGCTGGGACCCCATCGCTCTGTCTACTCCCCCCCTCCCCCCAGGCAGCCGCTGTGACCGTGCGCTTCTATGGGCTCGTGCACTGGGAGGACCCCACTGACGAGTCCCTGGGCCCCGTCCCCTGCCACCTCTCACCCCCCGAGGGCACCATCACCAAAGAAGGCATGCTGCACTACAAGGCGGGCACCTCCTACCTGGGCAAGGAGCTCTGGAAGACGTGCTTCGTGGTGCTCAGGTGGGAGCCCGCGGCTCTGGTCAGGCTCACCCTGAGGTGGTGGGTTCACAGGCTGTGAGCGTTTTGCAGCACGTCGCAGGCGGGAACCGAGGGAAACTCCCTCCCCACAGGGCTTAGGGGCACATGCCCAGGGCAGTAGAGCTTCTCTGTGAAGCAGCCTCCTTAGGGGCCACCCAGGGCTCCACCCGGCCACCCCAAAGAAGCCCCCTGGAATGCTGCAGGCAGAGACCCGGGCAGGGCTGCACCAAGCTCCCAGGTTGTGTCCCTCTGCAGTCCTTCCTTTGCCCTCCCCGCCACAGAAGACAGCCCCCCGCTTGGCCTCTGGGTCAGGGCTCCAGCCTGGGGGAGTCCCCGGGGTCTGGGCTCCACTGGTCCTGCTGGGACAGGCCTCAGCCCCGCCATGTGTGTCCCTGCAGCAACGGGATCCTCTACCAGTACCCTGACCGCACCGATGTCATCCCCCTGCTCTCGGTGAACATGGGGTGAGTATCCTGGTGAACATGGGGTGAGGTGGGGTCAAGGCTCTGGCTGAACTTGGGGCCCGCGCTCCTCTTCTCCCTGAGACCGCTCCTGGCTCTCCCTCTTGTCAGCTCCGCCTGCCCCTCACCCCACTGCGCCCAGCATCCCTGACCCTGTGCCCTGAGTCCTGCGGAGCTCAGGACCGCAGGGACCCAGGGCGGGGAGAAGGGAGAGCTCCTTAGGGGGCAGTCCCCGCCTGCTGGGGCACTCTCTTCCCGGGACGCGCCTGCCCTGAGGGGGAGATGGGTGCACACAGACTGGGGGAAGCGTCAGGCTGACGGGGAACATGAGGATGTGCACGGATCCTGAAGGCCGGAGCTGCGAACTCATTCTCTCCCCTCACGTGGCCGTGTTTAGGCTCTAGAAGGATCTTGGTGAATCTGGACATAAAAGGGGTTACACAGGATGGAGTGGGGCTGCCCAGCAGCTTTAAGCCTCTCCTGAGAGCCGAGGGGTCTGGACTTTTCCTGGTGCCCTCCGCCCGGGGACTGGCAGGCCCCACGGGCTAGAGCCACACCCAGGGGCTCCCACCCCGAGCCAGCCCTGCCTCCTCGCTCCCATTTCACCCCTCCTCCTCTGGCCCAGGGGGGAGCAGTGCGGTGGCTGTCGGAGGTCCAACACCACGGATCGGCCCCACGCCTTCCAGGTCATCCTTGCCGACCGGCCGTGCCTGGAGCTGAGCGCCGAGAGCGAGGCTGAGATGGCTGACTGGATGCAACACCTCTGCCAGGCCGTGTCCAAAGGGGTGAGCTGCCCCCGCCTCCACATTCACCTGGCCTCCCGACCCCGCTGTCTCCCTTCCTAAACCCACACCAGTCATGGAGCAACCCGAGGGGACCAGACGGTTCCTCCAGGGACAGCCCAGGAGCAGGCCCTGGTTCTCTCCTGGTCACCCCACCCCCAGCTGTAGCCCTGAGTGGCGGGGCCTGCCTTCTGGAGGCGGGGCTAAGGGCTGGCTGGGCCCTGGGCGGGGAGACCAGCCGCAGGAGCTCCAGCTTGCTTCCTGCCCCTCTGTCAACACCTTCAGGTCATCCCCCAGGGCGTACCTCCCAGCCCCTGCATCCCCTGCTGCCTGGTGATCACCGACGACCGCCTGTTCACGTGCCACGAGGACTGTCAGACCAGCTTCTTCCGCTCTCTGGGCACAGCCGCGCTGGCCGACATCAGCGCCGTCTCCACGGAGCCGGGCCGGGAGTACTGTGTCTTGGTGAGTCCGGTGTGTGTGTGTGTGTGTGTGTGTGTGTGTGTGTGTGTGTGAGAGAGAGAGAGAGAGAACCGGGCAGGGGGTACTGTGTCTTGGTGAGTCCGGTGGGGAGTGAACCGAGCAGGAAGTACTGTGTCTTGGTGAGTCGTGTGTGTGTGTGTGTGTGTATGTGTGTGTGTGTGTGTGTGTGTGTGTGTGTGTGTGTGTGTGTGAGAGAACCGGGCAGGGGGTACTGTGTCTTGGTGAGTCCAGTGGGGGGTGAACCGGGCAGGGGGTACTGTGTCTTGGTGAGTCCGGTGGGGGGGTGAACCGGGCAGGGGTACTGTGTCTTGGTGAGTCCGGTGGGAGGTGAACCGGGCAGGGGTACTGTGTCTTGGTGAGTCCGGTGGGGGGTGAACCAGGCAGAGGGTACTGTGTCTTGGTGAGTCCGGTGGGGGTGCTGGAGGAAGGCCCTGCAGAAGGAGCCCTGTGTCTGCTGACGGGGTCCTGCTCTCCCTAGGAGTTCTCCCGGGACGGCCAGCAGCCCCTCCCGCCCTGGGTCATCTACCTGAGCTGCACGTCTGAACTGGACCGATTCCTGTCTGCACTGAGCTCCGGGTGGAGGACCATCTACCAGGTACCCAGCTGCCCGGCCCTGCGGAGCGAGCCGGGCCCCGGAGAGGAGCCCTGCGTGGCACCGACCGAGGCAGGGGGTGGGCGCCCGGCACAGCACCGGCCTGTAGCCCTGGGAGCGAACACGAACTTTAGGACCAAAGGCAACCCTGCCTCTGGGGTCTGGCACTTAGCACATCCCTGGCTTCCTGGTTCCAATAAAACAGCACGAATTGAGTGCTGGCGGTGGGGCTGCGGCCGAGCTGTCCCAGGCAAGCAGGACACTCAGATGCACAGCCAGCGAGCGCAGGGCCTGCCGGGTGGCACCCACCCAACAGTGTCACCTGGTCTCGGCTTCAGCCCCTCCCTGCAGGGCACAGTGTAGCTGGGCGGACAGGCTGCCCGGGTGTGGCTCCGTGGCCTCATGCCCCTGCCGCCCGGCACAGGTGGACCTCCCGCACAAGGCCATCCAGGAAGCCTCCACCAAGAAGTTCGAGGACGCCCTGAGCCTCATCCACAGCGCGTGGCAGCGCAGCGACAGCCTGTGCCGCGGCCGAGCCTCCCGGGACCCCTGGTGCTGAGGCGGAGCTGGCGTGTCCTGGGGGCAGTGCAGGGAGGCGCACGGGGCACGCGCACGGTCACCACGGTGGCAGCGCACTGCTCGGGGCCAGGCCTCCACCCGTTCCACAGCCCACTCCGCCCCGTGCGGCAGAACCGGCGGGCGAGGCCTGAGACAGTCTGTCCCTCCCTGTGGTCAGAGTGAGTGCGCACACCCCGGGCACCTGCCCAGCAGCGGGCATGGACATGCCGGGGCAGAGGTCTGAGCCCTATGGGCTCTGTAGTTGCACAGCCTCCTCCCAGGGCCACGGCTCGGCCACGCCGTCACTTTAGGGTGGCGATGGGGATAATATCGACCCTGAGGGAGCAGAAGGATGGGGAGGGGAGGGTCCCCTCTTCCTGTCCGGCCCGGCAGAGGCTCAGGCCGCCCTGGGGGCCCGAGTGTCTGGTCATCCTGTTCATTTTTGAACGTATTCCTGGCCGAGCAGGGAAGCGGAACATGAGTTCTTAGTGCATGTCCTCTCCTCACTAACCCGTCCCACCCGCACTGCTGCCTGCCTTGCAGGGCGGGGCCGGCGGACTGGCCCTCCCGGCTGCCAGGAGGCCCTGCATGTCTGCGGGCCCCTGCCCTCACCTCTCCCTGAACCTGGCAGTGCCGTGGGCCCAGGAATTGGGCTGAATCTTTGCACTGGGAGCAGAGGCCAGGGAAGCGGGCGTGGAGTGGGGCAGAGCCCACCAGCCTGGCGTCCACGCTGGAGCCTCCTGACTGTCCTGCTTGGCCAGAGCCAGGCCCTTCCCGAGAGCCTGTCAAGAGCCCTCTCGGGGAAAGAGTTGGGTCTGGGTTTTGTTTTTTAAAATAAAATAGATATGTTATATTGCCAAGACTTGTCGCTGGCCCTTTTGTCCAGGATGGAGGTGGGGACCTCCAGTCCCTCTGCCCAGGTCCCTCGTTCTCCATTCCACAGTGTCCCATCAGCCGCCGGTGCCAACGCTGGGAACCAGACCCCCTGCGGCCCTGGGCACTCCAGTCTGGAGGAGCCCAGGCCCGGGAGTTTCACGGCCTGACCTTTGCCCTCTCTCCTGTGTCCTGCAGGGGCCAGGGGTGGGGTGGCCCGAGTCCTGGAAAAGTCTCCATAACCAGAAAAGCATGCCTGCCCCCCGGCCTCCCAGCCCAGGGGGTAGGTGCCAGCCACATTGGGTAAACCCGGGAGAGTTCACTCTGTTCCCCAGGCCTCTTGCCGAGCTGCTGCCCCAGGGGCTGCCTGGAGGATGCCAAGCCTATTAGGCCGGGAGCCATTCACACTGCCACCTGCAAGGCCACACACACACACACACACACACACACACACACACACACGGAGGAGAGGGGAAGCTCGGGAGGGGGTGGGTGTGGCAGCCACTGAGGCGGGGTTCCAGGCAGGGCGCCTCTGCCTCCGGTTTTGACACTGACATCAGCACCCAGGGTGATGCAGGGTGGCCCTGGCAGGAGAGCTGCTCTGAGGGCAGAGGTCAAGGCGAGCAGCCTGACGCCTGGCAGTGGTGTGGGTGGGGTGGGGAGTCCCTTCTCACCTGGCACAAAGGGCCATATCCTGCAGGGCCTCCTCCAGAAGCCACAACCGGGAGGGGCTCCCCGGGGAGGAGGGGGGCTGAGGGACAAGTCCCTACCAAGGAAGCGGCCAAGCCACTGGTCCTCCTGAGGTCCCCTCCCTGGCAGGACCCCCGCAGGGCAATGTGAACCACCTTTGGTGGGTGCTTTTCACACATCGCTGACCCTCCAGAGAAACCCTGCGGGGGTGGATGCCCCCCTTTACAAACCGAGAGTGAAGCTCCGAGGGGAGTGATTTGCCAGGTCACGTTCTAGCACAGCTGGAAACCCGGTCCGTCCCCTCCTCTGTGCTCACTGACAGCGGGACCCCGGACTGCGGGAGCCAGACCAGGAGGCTGAGGCCGGAAAGGGCACCTCACAGGGCAGGGGCAGGAGTGGGGCTGTTGCTGAGGTGCCCAGGCAGGCTGTGGCCAGGAGCCCCCGGGCAGTTCCCATGTCCAGGGCTCTGCTGCAGCAGGACTGGCTGAGCCAAAGGTGGGCGGCAGCACCAGCCCTTTGCCCCGGGGCCCACAGGGAGGGCTGGAGGACAAGGGGCAGGGGAAGGAGTTTCCGCTGATTGGCACCTCCTCCCCGCCCCCAGTCTCTTTCTGATCCCGCTGACCTTCGCCCCACATCCCAGAGTCTAGGGCCGCCCAGCCGGGAGGTGTGGAGAACAGAGGCCGCTGGGATTGGTCAGAGCCCAGCAGGGGTGTGTCCTAGGCGCCCACAGCCCAGGCGCTGAGCGGAGCAGGTGGACTCCCCGGATAGATCACCAACGGCCTGGCAGCTGCAGGCCTGTCTCTGCCCTCCAGACATGGTCCCAGGGCCCCTCAATCCCTAGCCCTGTGACCCTCCAGGGGTACAGGCAGCCTGAGCACCACCATCCCAGGGTCTGTGCCATGCCCCTGACCCGGGCAGAGCCGGCTGCTGGCACAGAGGACACTAGAGCGGTGTCCCCGGCTGTGGACCTGGTGCTGGGCGCCTCGGCCTGTTGCCTGGCCTGCGTCTTCACCAACCCCCTGGAGGTGGTGAAGACTCGGCTGCAGCTGCAGGGGGAGCTGCAGGCTCCGGGCACCTACCCTCAGCCCTACCGGGGCTTTGTGGCCTCCATAGCCGCCGTGGCCCGAGCAGATGGGCTGAGTGGCCTGCAGAAGGGGCTGGCCGCCAGCCTGCTCTACCAGGGCCTCATGAACAGCGTCCGCTTCTATTGCTACAGCCTGGCCTGCCAGGCCGGCCTCACGCAGCAGCCAGGGGGCACCGTGATCGCAGGTGCGGTGGCTGGGGCCCTGGGAGCCTTCGTGGGGAGCCCTGCTTACCTGGTGAGTGCCTCGTCTCCGTCCTCCACCACCTGGGACCCACCTCCCGCCTGGGCTCTGAGGCTTCCCGGGCTGGCCTCCGTGGGTGGGGCAGGCTGGGTGGGGCTGCCCCCTGGAACATCTCTTCCCAGGACTGAAATCTGCCCCAGGACCCTGCCCCGTCCATCTTCTGTCCCCAGGAGTCCCCCACCTGCAGGTCCTGAGCCAGGCAGGGGCGGGGGGTAGCGGGTGGGCTGGAGGTAAGCAGGAGGTGTGCACTTACGTGGCTTGTAAAGTCAAGAATAAAGCTTCCAGCCACATCAGTGTGGCTTAGTGGTCAAGCATCCATCCATGAACCAAGAGGTCCTGGGTTCGATTCCCAGTCAGGGCACACGCCCAGGTTGCAGGCTTGACCCCCAGTGGGGGACATGCAGAAGGCAGCCTTTTGATGTTTCTCATCTCTCTATCCCTCTCCCTCTCTTCCCCCCCTCTCTCTTAAAAAAGTCAATAAAAGCCGGGACCGGTTTGGCTCAGTGGATAGAGCATCGGCCTGCGGACTGAAAGGTCCTGGGTTCGATTCCGGTCAAGGGCATGTACCTTGGTGGCGGGCACATCCCCTGTGAGGGGTGTGCAAGAGGCGGCTGGTCGATGTTTCTCTCTTATCGACATTTCTAACTCTCTGTCCCTCTCAATTCCTCTCTGTGTAAAATCAATAAAAGATATTTTTTTTAAAAAAGTCAATAAAAAATAAAAAAGAATAAAGCCCGTCTGGTACAGCTCAGTGGTTGAGCATCAACCAGGAACTAAGAGGTCACCTGTTCTATTTCTGGACAGGGCACGTGCCCAGCTTGTGGGCTCCATCCCCAGTCAGGGGCGGGAAGGAAACAGCTGATCGATGATGTTTCTCTCTCATCCATGTTTCTATCTCTCCCTCTCCCTTTCTCTCTCTTTAATAATCAATTAAAAATTTTTTAAAAATAAAAAATGAATAAGAACTCTCTCTATTAAAAAAATGTAAGAAAAGAATGAAGCTTCCGGGAGCCAGGGCCAGCACTGTCCTCTCCACACCCCTCCACACCCCCCACCTCCCACCCTCAGAACAGCTTTCCAGAGGTAAGCAGACACAGGAGGTGGTGCAGACCCAGGCCAATCTGGAGGCTCGCCCCAACCCTGTCTCACACACACCCCGCCCCCCCAAGCTGCAGGCGTGGGCTCCTGAGGTCCAGAAGGGACTGCTCCCTGGAACATCACTGCCCGGCCTGCACTCTGCCCCCACGACCAGGAAAGGGTGCCCTCCACCCACACAGCTCAGCCAGGCTGCCAAGGCCGGGCCCTGAGCCCTCCATCACCTCTGCTCTCACAGGTCAAAACGCAGCTGCAGGCCCAGACGGTGGCCGAGATGGCCGTGGGGCACCAGCACCACCACCAGGTGGGACTGCCACTCCCCAGAGCTCCCTGGGCTGGGTGGGCTCCTGGGCGGGCAGGGGCTGCCCAGTGACCCTGTGCCCTCTCCCCACAGAGCCTCCTGGGCGCCATGGAGACCATCTGGCGGCAGCAGGGTCTGGCAGGTCTGTGGCGGGGTGTGGGCGGGGCTGTGCCCCGAGTCATGGTTGGCTCTGCTGCCCAGCTGGCCACCTTCGCCTCGGCCAAGGCCTGGGTGCAGGAGCGACAGGTGAGGGGCCAGGGACACAGACACCCAGGGGTGAGGAGGCCTCCTGCCTCCTTTCTCCCTCTCTGCCTGGGCCCAGGTCATACCTCAGGGAATCCCCGCCGACGGTGACAGACGGGGCCCCGTAGGACCCCTGGGCACAGGAATGGGGGGCCAGCAGTGAGCCCTGAAGGTGGGAGGGGCCTTGTGGGGGAGGTGTGGGTGGGGAATGGCTGGAGGGGCCTGTCTTCTCCCGTCCCCCTGGGTGGAAGGAGGCTGGTGGGCACAGCAGCGGGTGTCAGCAGCCTGTGCCATCCCCACAGTGGCTCCCGGAGGACAGCTGGCTGGTGGCGCTGGCCGGAGGCATGATCAGCAGTGTGGCGGTGGTGGCCGTCATGACCCCCTTCGATGTGGTCAGCACTCGGCTGTACAATCAGCCCGTGGATGGAGCTGGCAGGGTGAGCAGGGGACCAGGTGGCGAGGATGTGGGGAGCTGGAGAGCACCTTTCCCAACACACACACACACACACACACACACACACACACACGTGACATACATGCAAACGCATTTCTTCGGCTTGTGTGTGGAGCACCTAGGACCCAGGCACGTGCCAGGCAGTCTCACATCTGGATTTTGTTCCATCCTCACACCCACCTTCATTTTCCTGATGGGGAAACTGAGGCTCAGAGCTATCAGGTGACTTTGCCTGAAGTCACTCAGCTGGCATGTGGAGGACCCTGCACTGGAACCCGGGCCCGACCCCTGGCCTCACAGACAGGTGCCTGCCACCGTGCACACAGGTGCCCTCCATAGGCTGAGTCAGGGACGAAACCCACCAGGGACGAAACCCTCCGCCAAACGGAGCCCCTGGCTGGGGCTGGGCTGGGGTTGCCTGAAGGAAGAGATTCCTTTTAAAATGTTGCCACCAAAGGTCCTTCATTCTGTAATTTCCCTAGTTCGGGGGTGGGGGGGGTGCCTTTTCTGAGGTGCTGCAGAAGCCCTCACACACAGACACACTCTGAGTGCCAGCCAGGGCCCCAGGCCCCTGTATGACACCCCCTGTGTCTCCCCAGGGCCGGCTGTACCGGGGCCTGGCGGACTGCCTGGTGAAGATCTGGCGGCAGGAGGGTCCCCCGGCTCTCTACAAGGGCCTGGGCCCCGCCTACCTGCGCCTGGGCCCCCACACCATCCTCAGCATGCTCTTCTGGGACGAGCTCCGGAAGCTGGCCCGATAGGGGGGCCCGGGCACTCGGGGCGTCCCTCACCCCACATCCCGACACAGCCCGTCACCCCGCTCCGGCTGGGCATGGCCCTCTCTCACCAGCCACAGGCCCAGGCTCTGCCCCAGGTCTGGGGAGAGTGAACAGCCGGTCCGCCCGGCCCTGGGACCCACAGCCTGCTGCGAACCACCACCTCTGCTCTCCGGAAAGTCCTTCCCTTCCTTCTCTGCCTGGGGGGCCTTGCCCAGGGCCGTCCTCACCGTGATCATGACTGCCCCGAGCGAGGGCAACCAGGAGCTGGGTCCCTCCATCTGCTGCTTCCACCGGAAACCACAGGGGGCGTGACAGACCTCTCACCAAGGAGCAAGCCGAGGCTCAGAGGGTGGAGACTTTGATCGAAGTCACACAACAGCGCTGAGATGGCAGAGCTGGGACTGGAGCCACCCTTGGCAAGTTCTAGCACGCGGGGCGGAGTGACCCCACGGGATCACTGCACACGGGAGGAGACCCTGCATGCCCGGAGGCGTGTCATCTCCGTGGCAGTGGGCCAGAACTGCCGGGACAAACCAGGCGGCTGTTTCTCCCAGTCCTGGAGGCCGGAAGTCCCAAGATCCAGGAGTCAGCAGGGCTTGTGTCTTCTCAGGCCTCTCTCTTTGGCTTGAGATGGCTGACTTCTCTGCGTCCTTCCTTCTGTGCATGGCTGTGCCCCAATCTCACCTTATAGGGCCAGTCATATGGGACTAGGGCCACCCTAGTGACTGCATGTTAACTTCATCACCTCTGTAAAGACCCTTCTCCAACTAAGCCACACTCTGAGGTCCTGGGGCTGGGGGTAGGGCCTCATTATAGTGAATTGGGGTGCAGGGGGGACACAATTCAGTCTGCCACATCAACTAGTTGGTTGACCAGCTGGCTCTACTGAGGCCCTCCCAGGGCCCAGCCCTGCGGGCATTTGCACAGCTCCTCATGGCGACCCTGGAAAGGAACGGAGCCCGTGGTTCGATGAGGAGACTGAGGCCAGGCTGGGGGAGTGACTGGCCCAAGGGGAGTAGCAGAGCCAGGCGTCCTCCTCCGGCACTTCCCTCCGAGCTGCAGCCACACTCCCCGTGTGATCTCTGTGCTACCAGGTGGACACCAGGCCCCTGGAGGAGGAGCCCGGCCCAGGCCCAGCAGCCTGAACTGCCTTCCCTGCCAACACCCGCTCCCGGGGGGCACGCCTACCAACACTCCAAACCAATAAAGTTTTCTATTTTCTTTACGTCAATCAGTCTCCTCTGCCGGCAGCCTCAGTCTCCCCCGCCCCTGAGCCTCCTCCGGCTCTCCAGACAGACCTGGCCCAGTCTCCCCCACCTCTGAACCCCTTTCCTTGGCTACTTCAGTCTGGGAAAGGAGGATCCAAAAGCCTTGGGCCATCCAGCCCCACCCCGTCTGGCCCCGGGGAAGCCTGCCACCTAGTGGACACAGAGAGGATAGTCAAGGCGGCTGCCAGTGGCTGAGGGGGTGGGCCCAGAGCTGGATCCCAACCTCAGGCCTGGGGGGTATATATCCCCCCCCCCCTCCAGACTTCGGGCTGAGAGTAGAGCCTGACCTCAGGAATGTAGGGGGATGGATGCCCCTTCCAGATTCTGGGCTGAGAGGACATGCCCTAAGGCTGGGGACAACGGGTGACAGGACAGAGGCCTGGGCAGGAAAGCCACCGTGTGGCAAGCCCTCAGGGAGAGGGAGGACAGCGGGCACCAGACTTGAGCAGAGACAGAGACCAGCCCCAGAGATGCTCCTTCCTTCACCTGGTGGTCCCGTCGCCCCTTAACCCTCCCGCTCCCCTCCCTGCCCTCCAGCCCCGGGCCTTTGACTCCTCCCCCTCCCTCTCCACCGGCACCTTTGCCCTGTGACGCCAGCCTCTCCTCTCCGGGGCAGACCTGGCCCCAGGCTGGGCTGGATCCGGCTGCCATGTTCTCCCTGCCGGCCCTCCCCTCCTGGCTCCCGGGCCTCTCCTCCCTCGAGTGGGGCTCCGGCCTTCTCCTCGACTCTGTCCTGAAAGGTGAGCGCCCCCTCCTGCCCCCTCCAGGGCCTGCTCCCTCTGGGCACCCACCCACAGGTCTCCCAGCCCTCGGCTGCCCCTCCTCTAACCCTGCGAGCACGCCCACTCTCCTTCCCTCCCTCCCCTCAGGCCTCATCGGGGCCTGCGGCGTCTCCGTCCTGAGCAGCTTCCTGAAGGTGTACTTCTTCGTGGGCTGTGCCAAGTGAGTGCCCACCTGCCCGGCCCACCCCCAGGCCCTTTCAGCACCCCCCCCCCGGCCCCCAGCTGTGACTCTGGTCTCTGAGGGAGGACTGGGAGCCAGAGACCTTCCGTCTGGCCAGGGAGTGTGGCCGGGGACCGGGACCCCCTCCAGGGCCCAGGCTGGTGGTTCTGCCACTCTGCCTACACCCCCTCCGCCCCCAACAGCAACCCAGCATGGCGGCCGGAGAAGGAGCGGCTGCAGGCCCGGTGGGCCTTGCTTGAGACGGTGCACCTGCCCGGGCTGGCCCTCATCCTGTCCCTCGTGGGGCCCCGGGTGGCCTCCCTGGTGGTGCTGGAGTTCTCGCTCCGGGCTGTGTCCACGCTGCTGTCCCTGGGCAAGGTGAGGCCGGGGGAGGGTGGGTGCGCGCTGCTGGCCCGCACGCTAGATCGGCTGAGGGCATCCTCCCATGAGCCTCCCAACCAGGGGGGAAGGCCTGGGGGAGCCCCATGTCTCAGGTGGGGAAATGAAGGCTCAGAGGGGTAACCCACAGGAAGGGGAGTCAGCTTAAGCCCAGGTCTCCAAGGCTCCCAGCCACCACCGCTTCCACGAGCACGCGGGTCCCAGGTAACAGCCAGGATGGGAATTAAGCTGGAAGAAATGACCCATTAGGCCGAAGCCAGTTTGGCTCAGAGGATAGAGCGTCGGCCTGCAGACTGAGGGGTCCCAGGTTCGATTCTGGTCTGGGGTATGTGCCTTGGTTTGCGGGCACATCCCCAGTGAGGGGGGGGTGCAGGAGGCAGCTGGTCGATGTTTCTCTCTCATCAATGTTTCTAACTCTCTATCCCTCTCTCTTCCACTCTGTGAAAAATCAATAAAATCTATTTTTTAAAAAGAAAGAAAGCCGAGACCGGTTTGGCTCAATGGATAGAGCGTTGGCTTGGGGACTGAAGGGACCCGGGTTCGATTCCGGTCAAGGGCATGTACCTTGGTTGCGGGCATATCCCCAGTAGGGGGTGTGCAAGAGGCAGCTGATCGATGACTCTCTCTCATCGATGTTTCTAGCTTTCTATCTCTCTCCCTTCCTCTCTGTACAAAATCAATAAAATATATTTTTAAAAAAAAGAAAGAAAAAAAGATAGAAAGAAAGAAAAATGTCCATTAGGGCTTGACTCCAGTATTCCCTCTTGGGGAGTGATCCCAGGGTTTCCTTTGGGGCCCAGCCTCCCCTAGACGGAAGCATCTGTGCCCGCCCTCCGTGTCCCGGGGTGAGGGGTCCCACCATCCCTGCCCCTCTCTGCCCTCCCGCCAGGGCTCCGGGAGCGCCGAGCGGCTGCAGCTGTGCCTGCTGGGCCAGTACTCGCTGGGCTGCGGGCTGACCTGCGGCCTGAGCTTCCTGCAGGAGGGCGCCCCGCACCGCTCGCTCAACCTGCTGCTGGGCCTGGGGCTGGCCGCGCTGCTGAGCTCGCAGGCCCAGCGCCTCCTGCGCCACGTCTGCCGCCTCTACGAGCTGCACAGCAGCCAGCACTACTGCGGGGTCTGCCTGGGCCTGCTGGCCCGGGCCTGTGACCTGCCCCGCCTGCTGGGCCGCGCCCTGGTCGTGGCGTTCGCCGTGGGCGACCTGGCGGCTGTGGCCCTCATCAACCAGGACTTCCTGACCACCTCGGAGGCCGTGCGCTTCTGGACGCCGCTCACCATCTGCTACACCCTGCTGGTCATCTACATGCAAGGTGAGGGCTGGGGGGGGCCTGCTGGTCATCTACATGCAAGGTGAGGGCTGGGGGGGGCCTGCTGGTCATCTACATGCAAGGTGAGGGCTGCGGGGGGCCTGCTGGTCATCTACATGCAAGGTGAGGGCTGCGGGGCCCCCTGCTGGTCATCTACATGCAAGATGAGGGCTGCGGGGTGCCCCCTGCTGGTCATCTACATGCAAGGTGAGGGCTGTGGGGTGCCCCCTGCTGGTCATCTACATGCAAGGTGAGGGCTGTGGGGTGCCCCCTGCTGGTCATCTACATGCAAGGTGAGGGCTGGGGGGGGCCCTGCTCGTCATCTACATGCAAGGTGAGGGCTGGGGGGTGCCCCCTGCTGGTCATCTACATGCAAGGTGAGGGCTGGGGGGGGGCCTGCTGGTCATCTACATGCAAGGTGAGGGCTGCGGGGTGCCCCCTGCTGGTCATCTACATGCAAGGTGAGGGCTGCGGGGTGCCCCCTGCTGGTCATCTACATGCAAGGTGAGGGCTGCGGGGTGCCCCCTGCTGGTCATCTACATGCAAGGTGAGGGCTGTGGGGGGCCGGGCACCGCTGGGCATCCACATCCTTCTGACTGATGGCCCAGGACTGTCCTGGATCTCCGGAGGCTGACAAGCTAGCCCCCTGCCTCCACCCCCCAGGGCGCCTAGCCTGTGTCAGAGGCCATGTGGTGGGGCAGCTCAGAGGGCTGCAGCGTGCCCTGAGGAGACGGTGCTGGAATTGGACCTTGAAGGGTAGACAGAACCCCTGAGAGAGGTGGGGGGACATGACCTCGTACGCCAAGGCTCAGAGGTGAGAGGGCACGGCAGCCTAAACCACGGGAAGAAGCTGAGTGTGGCTGTCACCCGAGAGGGGCTGAGGCTGACGAGGTTCCCTGGGGCCTGAAGGAGAGTCCTCGTGGGCCAGCCTGGGCAGGGTTTGGGGGTGAGGAAGCGAGGAGGGGGTCTGGTCAGATCTGGGCTCTAGGAAGAGGCTCCTGGCTGCAGAGTGGGATGGGCTGGACAGAGAGAGGGTGGCCGGAAAAGGAAGGGCGGCCAGGCCGAGGGC